CGGTGCTTGCTGCGTGTTAAGAAGCGCCTGCGTGGGCGCAGCGGAGGCCTGTGTGTGCAGAGGTGGATTTGAAAATGATTTAGTGTTTGTTTTTGTTCCAGTGGACGTATCTTTTCCTCTTTCCTTCATTTTTAGCACGAACTGAAGGGGGGGGGGGTTTAAATCGCTACCTTTTCCTCATGGAACTGAAAACATTTATTCCGGTGTTCCATAGTATATACATCAATAACAAAATACTGTGTTTCTGAACCCGTGCAAGAAAAACGATGTAAAAAAAAAAATGCATATGAGGGTTAGAGGTGGGGGTAAAAGCTGTCTTTCATCTCGTTGCCGTGTGGTTAGAGGACTTGTTCATGACATGATGCAAATTTTCCTCTGTTTAAAGGGAATTTTATTGCCTTTATATGAAGGAGACTTTATATACGCATACAATAAGAAGACATACTACAAGAAGATTTCTTCTTAGAGACTGTTCTTGGGTTAGATGCTTTCGCGTCTTTCTTACTCACTCTGTTCTGCTCTGTATAATTAAGCACTTATTACATTATGAACTGGATTCTACATGTCTCAGTTGCGTTTCCTAATACAAATCTGAGGATCAGTTTTGTTCTGTTCAGTAACTGCACAAGTATTTTATATAAAATGGAACTCTTCCAGCGGGAGGGGTGAGGTATTTACTGTACTCTGAAAATCCTTCGTGACTTTATTAGGCAACTTCCCCAGGAATCTGACAAACCTACGTTCAAATTTATTCTCCTTGATTCAGTGCAGGTATTTGGTTCAAAATCAGTGGCCTGACCACAAGACCGTGGGCTGTTCTGGCATAAATCTGAGTTACAGTGGGATTCTTAAATATTCTTAAATACCCATTGCGTAATAGAGAATGGTCCCTTCTTTTGAGATATTTCTGTATATCTAAAAATTATTTTGTGTTTTTCTGAATAGCTCTGAGGTGATAAAATTATTTCATGAAAACTTACTGTTCATGAAATCTTTTCTGTGTGTTTGTATGGCAGTAGAATCTATGGACAAGGCGGTGGCTGCATAGGTAGAAGGGAATGACAGTGTGAAGCAGAAGTTTGTGTTGGGGTGTGTGGGCTGTATGTGACTAATAAATGCGCGGAGCAAAAGAGCTGTATATGGAAAAATGTCTTTGTGCGTGGAAGGAGACTGAATGTGTGTGTGTGAACACTTCTGCGTAGAATAAGTGCAATATTTCTGTTAGGATCCAGTGCGGGATAACTGGACAACATCTGCCACACGATTTGTTAAAGCTGTTTAATAATCTGCATAGTAACTAGTGCTGTGTGTATTCATAATGCTTTGTAGACCAGAATGATTTATCCATTCTGTATCATATCAGACAAAGTAACTGATGTAACATAAAGAAAATCTAAAACTTGGGCAACTTGGAAGTCCGGAGAGTTTTAACTCGCTTGTGTTGTAAATTGTCGGTATGTTTGATAGACAAGTTTGCCTTGGTAATGTGTGCTACAGAGTGTTTTTTGAGGAAAAAAAAGGGGGAAAGCCCTATGCTTCACTTACAAATGTTGTGATTCTTCCACATTATAGTAATCACGAGAGAACTGTACTGTTAATGTTGGGTTTAACATCCCCTGATACCAGCTAAGCACTCAGACTGCTTAGTGGATTTGGTTAATTTACTGCCTTGTTAATAAAGTCGTTGGAGAATGTAAGCGCAGTACGTGCCAGCCTTGATAAAGGTTGATGTTTACAGTCTGTTTGGCACATCACTAAATTTCTAAATTGCTGATAAACTATGTCTCTTTTTTTTTCTCCCTTTCTAAGATACTACACGTATCTTCAGCAAGCTCAAGCTTTTTACACGTTTCCGTTCCATCAAATGATGACTGCAGCGCCCAACATGGAAATCATGACTGAGCAGCCGACTCTAGAGGGCGTTCCAGAGCCAAACATTGCTCAGGAGCCTCCGAAAGGTAGTTTTGACTGGGCTGTGCTAAGGGAGCTAAGACGTTAGTAACCGACTGGGGGGGGGGGAGGAATTATTGATCTTAAACTGCTCCTTTGGACCTATTGGATTTCTTGATGCTCTTTGAGGAAGTATTGATTCATTGTATTCTTTAAGTAATGTTTGTTACCAGACAATTCAAGAGGTAAGAAGTAAACCCCGGTGATAGTATTCACGTTGTTCAGTCTCACAAAATTATCTTCTTGCAGGAAGAGCAGATTTTTGTTTCAGTAGCTGAACGTACCATTTTTAGCTGATTTTTTGTGGGGTTTAATATTATGTTAGAGACATTATCTTTCCTCAGTCTGAGTTAAAAATATTTTTTAACTTCTGCCAGAGAAGTACAGTATAGTACTGTTTATTTGAAATATTTTTGTTTAAATGGTGTTTTAGTGTGTTGTAGTAATCACAAGTAGTTAATTGCTTATATCCACTAAGGATTGTTTGTTTTTAATGAGGTTTGTTTAAACAAATACAGGACACTTTCCAGCATTGTTTGTATGTGACACAAGTTTTGTACTTTATGCACTTGTACATTGCCTTTCCTTTCCCCCCACTAGGATTTTGTACACTTAGGCTTTACACTAACCGTGCCAAGAAAAGATCCCTTGTTCTGTTAGTCTTACGCTTGCTCTTTACCACATAAAAAAGGCAGTGATCTCTACTATGCTTAAGTTCTGATTCTACAGCAAATATTCACACACCAAGTTTCATCTTGCTTTTAATATATAGGTATAGGTCAGCGCTTTCCGTACCAAGGTAATCCATCAGCCAGTTCATGCAATGACATTGCTTGTTTAAGTGCATCCTTTTGTAAGCGTCAATTTTTCTTTTTTAGTTGTAATGCTTGGCCAGATGAAATCATAGGAAGAAAACCTCCAGTTTAAAACAGTTGCAACTGCTCTGTATTATTCACTACAGTGAATAATACTGCTCACTGTATTATTCACTACAGTGAGGATGCATCTTAAGTGCTATATAGTTAGGCTTCTTTTGCAGCTTTATTATTGGATAACATGATGTCACCATAAGCATGCTGTTTGACTGCCCTTTCAAGTATTTTTAGACAACCGTAATCTTCTGTTACGAAGCTGTTCCCTAGTATTTTTACAAGAATTGAAAGTTGAGTAAGGCCTTGAAAGGCAGGGCTTGAAGATTTACCAAATGTGTGTGAAATTTACAGGAGCGTATATGAAAGGCAAAGATTTGGAGTCCAGCTACCTGCTGTGATGAAAAAAGTGAAATTTTTAGGATTGCCGTCTGAAAGGCTGCCCTGGCATTGTTCGTCTTTCATGACAGTGGCTGGTTGGTAGGTACCTGATCAGCATGAGAGTTAGGAGAACGTTATCCTACTTCATCTGAAATACATCCAACTCAGAGCAGTCAGAGTGTCTGTGGCATTTTGCCATCACGTGAAAAACCCCCTAGTTCTTCAAGGGCCAGGAAAGCAAAAGCTGCTTCTGTGCCTCACCAAGTCTGTGCCTTTCTAGTCTCTTCTTCATGTAGCGACACTATAGCTTGAGTACTGTTACTTACAGCTTTCCTAAGCAGTTGCTCCAATGACGCGGTGGGAATTTCACATGACTTCTGTCCTTCTTTAAGAAAGCTGAGTGCAAACAAAAACAGCCCCCAAAAAGTTGGCAGACTTAGGGCAGTGCCCTGGTATCCACTGTATTTATTTCTTACCTGAGGGAGAGTTTCGTCTAGAAATTTTGCAAATAAGATGAAGTCTCAATTTTAAAGTAATAGATTACCTTGGCTCTTTGCTGATTGCTGCTAAATACGTTTGCATACTTTTGAAGTTGTGTTCTGCAACTTGACGTTATCAATGAACAAGGATAGAGAGCAATCTCTGGGTGGTCATGTCATGACCAGTACCTGTGCTGATTGAATCTCTAAGCTTTAGGGGCCAGAAGATGAGGAAGCTTCAAATGCGTGAACAGCGATTACTTTATGTTTGCATTTTGTAGATAAAAATTAATGTTTGGTGTCACTCATTCAAATTGAGATCCTGAAGCTCTCATACGTTACCTTGCTATATAATGCACTGGACAGTTCTGTAGACAATAAATTGTAAACAGCTTATGCAGCGTTCAGCCTATGTGTTTGTGTTCCTGACAAGCTTATACCTTACACTGTAGGTAATCCTTGAGACCTGTTGCTCTTGACATGCTGTTCAGTTTCTTCAATGCATTATGTAATCTGTAACAATCAACTTTCATATTTAGAAGCTGGAGTGTGAATAGTAGACTAGAGCTTACTATTGCATTCCTTGGAACCTAAGCTTTGATGTTCTGGCATATCCTCCGAAAGAAATGAAACTGTTTCCAAAGGATTGTTGCATACAGCATGTAAACAACATAACCTAGTCATGAGGTTATTCTTGGTTTGCATCCTAAGTCAGCGTAGCTGCCTGCGAGTAGTGTGTGTCTCTGTGGTACAGAGACACCCAAGCTAGCTCTGTGTTGAGCCTGCAAAATGGAAATTCACCTGGTAATTGTTTAAATTAATGAATTTTGAAGGTAAATTTATCTGTCTGCTTTCTTTTTGTGTCCATACGTTTAGCTCAGTCTTTTTGAATATCCACACTGCAATACTAGAAATGTACAAAAAGGATATTTGCTGTGTGTTTCAGAAGTTAAAAAAGGAGGGAGGAAAAGAAAAGCCAAAGCAACTGAGCCAAAGCAACCCAAAAAGTCTGCTGCTAAAAAAGAAAAATCAGCCAAGTCAAAAGGCAAACAAGAAAAGATCACAGATACTTTTAAAGTCAAAAGAAAAGTGGACCGTTTTAATGGTGTATCTGAAGCTGAACTTCTGACCAAGACTTTACCTGATATTTTGACCTTTGATCTGGACATTGTAATAGTAAGTAACTCACAGTTACAAGACTAGGTAGAAAAGTGAATAGTCTGTACTCGCTGGTTATGATTTACATTCCTTCTGCTTACTTATCTATGTTGCTTATATGGCAAGATCTTGTAAGATAAAGTATATAAACTGTTTCCTGTATGTAGAGCTGCTTTGCATTTTCTGTTAAAAATCATAGTAACATAGTTGTAACTTCTGAGAAGTCTAAGGCTTACGTGTAATACATAATTATGAGAGACCGTTACTTGACACTTCATTTACTGAAGTGCTGCACCAGTGACTGTAAAACACACTGTGAGCTGCGCTTCTGGCATTGCACATCTAAATGAGACACTGCTGTAAAATTGTCATTTTTTTTTTTAAATAGTGATGGAAGGTACCATTAACACAGTTTTGTTTATTGACGGTAACTTAAAGAGAATTGAATAAGCATCCTTACTGTAACTTGATTAAATTCCTGACTAGCAAGCCGTGTTCTCATCGTTAAAATGGACTGGTATCTTTGTAGATTGGCATAAACCCTGGCTTGATGGCAGCTTACAAAGGACATCATTACCCTGGACCTGGAAACCATTTTTGTATGTTTTTGTTTTCCTTTCTTCTTATAGAATTTGCAGAACTTTGTTAGAACTTGTGGCATTTTAATTAAACTGGTTTGGTTTTTGTTTTTTGCCTTTTTTTTGATGCAGAGAGGGATTTTGCTTTTAACTATTCAAGAGTGGTTTAAATCCCATAATTACTTCTGTCAAATACCGTGCATAAAAAGGAATAAAAGAGGAATAATCGGTGACTTTCAGTGCAGGTTTAGAATTGTCATGTAAACACAGTATTACCAGATAATTTCTTGGCGTATTAGCGTGCAACATAAGGAATAAAAATTACATCTCTAGTACTTGAGTTATCAAGGGTAAGTCAATAGGCATCAATTTCTGATACAAAGTAAAACTACACACATTTTCCCAAAAATGCATTTCAGCAAGGCCTCTTCTGTTTGCATTTATTCATCTCTTCCAAACAAGCTTTCTGACTGATGAAAAAGCAAAAACCATTGCCCTTTCCCAGTAGGCACGTGCATCTAGCACACCTGATTCTCCAGACAGATATCTTTTCCTAGGTATTTTTCCATTTAAATAACATTTTCTGCAGCATGTTCTCATAAAGAAAGATCACACCTGAACTCTGAAATGCTCTGTTTTGCTTACTGGGAGCCATTCCAGCTGTGGAGCTCCATGTGGGCTAATTTGCAGCCCTGTGATACTCCAGCCAAAAGGCTTCTGGTGTCCAACAGACTTGTAAATCAGGCTTGGGTATTTCTCTAGCGTTCTGCGGACTAGCCAGACTAATAGCTGCCTTTACCGAGAAGCAGACAGGATACACATGCTCCGACAAATCCAGGTGTTTGTAAGCTTCCCGAATCATTAGGAGCTAGCTGTGGTTAATTTGTGCTTAGATTGGCAGTGCACATCACCCAAACTATACTTTAATACACTAAATATGAATGTAAGATGTCAACGGGTTCTGTCAGAGAGGCCCAGTGCAAGGAGAAGCGATGGCAAGGTTGTAAAAGAAAACTGACGCTTGTTGTATTTGCTACATTCTTTCCCACAAAAATCCATATTGATCAGATTCACTCCCTGCTTAAGTGAATCACAAAATCTAAAGCTCTTTCTGACTTTTATTCTAAAAGTCTGGTTTCCATACACAGGATGATGGTGAGGAATTCCTGTTGTTCACTGGGGATTTTCTATGCTCTTGCAGTAGATAAAGCAATTTTGGCTATTTTAAACTTTTCTAGATAGAGCAATAGTCTTCCGAAATTAACTGATGCTCTGTTAACATAGGCTCCTCCTTTAGCATTCCAGTACTCTGATAGTCGAGGGGGGGGTTTGGTTTTGTTTTCTTTTCCTTAGAAAAAGGCAAATGCATATCTTCCTACTTCACAGGGAAGTGTCTGTTCATGTCTGGTCTAAGTAATGAGCAGCTGAACCATATGGATGACCACACCTTGCCACATAAATATGGGATTGGATTTACAAACATGGTTGAAAGGACAACACCTGGAAGCAAAGACCTCTCCAGGTAGGATAACAAGGGGGAATATTGTGCTTGTTAATGAGTTAATAGTTGTGATTATAATTTTGAGTACTTTCTGTTTTAGCAAAGAGTTTCGGGAAGGAGGGCGGATTCTGATGCAGAAGTTACAAAAGTATAAACCTCGTATAGCAGCTTTCAATGGAAAATGTGAGAACCTTGATTTTTAAATGAATTCATTTTGTCAGTAGCTTTTTTTTGTCCACTTATCCTATCTTCTTTTCATTTTAGGTATTTATGAAATTTTTAGTAAAGAAGTTTTTGGAATAAAAGTTAAGAACTTGGAATTTGGACTGCAGCCACACAAGGTGCCAGATACAGAAACGGTAAGTATTGGTACTGAGAAACAAAACCAGGGCACTCCATTTCGGTTATTTCAAAACTAACAAAGTCTCAGGACTTGCACACGCTTACGATAACGTCAAAGATTGCCCGAAGTACAAGGGATGTGGAAGGCTTTTACTTGAAGAGAGAAAGGGGGATAGTGCAATTTTCAGACACATCTTTAATGCAGCTTCTTCAGACTTGCAGACTTTATTTGGGAAATGGTGTATTATGGTTAGTAGGTTAGTGCATTCTCTGAGGACTATCTAAAACATGAATAAAACATACATGCTTGTATGATAACTGTCATCTATTTTCATCTGATTCTCTGTGTCCGGTTCCCTGGTATGTTTGTATTACTGAATTTTGATACCGAACGTGACCGTGGTGCTAGTGGTGCCCCAGAGCGGGAGAAAGAATAGTTAAGTCCATCATTGCGCTATTAGACACTACAGCTACAGCATTACTGGATCCGGGCATGCCCAAGCACTTCCTTCCATCAGACTCGGTCTTCTTAAGCTGATTTGCAGCTTGAAATTAAATTGGACACTTAAGATAAAACAAACAGTTTGATGAAGAGTGCATTAGTCATAGACGTCTAGTGCTGGAAGGTATCTCAAGAGTCCAGCTATGTATCATCACAAATAGGTTTGTTTAACCTGTTCTTATAAACAGGTTAAGGCAAAGGCAGTTACACTAGCTGCCAAGGTAGCTTATTCCAGAGCGTCATTACCTTGTCAGTTCAAAAGTTGGATGGCTTTTCTTTTTATTTCTATCCCAAAGTACTAGTGCTGCAAGTTTAAGCTGAGTTTAAGCTGTCCTTCTCTAAAGGTGAAGTGTTGCCATCAGAGCCTGAAGAACCGTTGGTGATAAAGCGCTTGCTTCTCAAGTAGCTCTTAAACACTTCTGCAGTAGATGTATTTGTAAGAAAGATAAATAATCCTATTTACAAGTACTTGTTCGTAAACACACCACGCTATTAAAAGTATTGGATACAGTTCCTTTTTTCTGAACTAACTTTACATCTGGTTAGGGCTGTCGGCAGCGATAGAGACGCTTAGGTTGGCTTCCGCCACACGAACTCCAGAGTTTCAAACCCTGGCAAGTGCGATGCAGACGCACTTGGCCAAGAAGCCAGGCTAATTAACCTGTGATGCCTCCCCTCACTGGTTTGGGGCGTTTGCATGCTATCACGTACTCCACTGGGGACTTTCTGGCTCAGAGCTTCGCTTGCTCGGGGAGCTCTGGAGTATGCTCCCCTGTCTGGCATACGCTTGTAAAGTGTACTTCTTGTAACAGGTACCTGCGCTGCTTCTCCTGCAGCGCATAAACAACTGGTGAAAACTGTCCTCGCTTCAGCAGCTGATAACCAGTCCCTCTCTTTAGGGCAAGACATCTAGCTGGCCAAGGAAAATGAAAGGCTCCTTTTATCCTCTCCCACAACCACCCGTGGCATTAGTTGAAGTTTGTACAAAGGGTTAAAACAGTGAGCTTAGCTGTTAAGTTATTCTCGATGCACTAAGTATTAGCTCATAGTTCAGGGACCAGTAATGCTATTTTTCTTGCTCTTTGTCTCAAGCTCTGCTACGTTATGCCGTCATCCAGCGCAAGATGTGCTCAGTTTCCTCGTGCGCAAGATAAAGTTCATTATTACATAAAGCTGAAAGACTTAAGGGATCAACTGAAAGGCATCGCACCAAACACGGAGGTGCAGGAGGTGCAGTACACATTTGACTTGCAACTTGCGCAAGGTATAGTGGTTATTTTCTTAGTCCTTTATTAAAATGTAGTGTAATGTACAACACAACTAGCAGTTTCCCAAGCAAAAAGAAATAAGGAATTTAAGGGAAGAGATGTGCCATCTTCTCTAAATCGTGTGGCATAGAATTACACATTCCACTCTCTTTTTAGTACCATCTTAATCATCTAAGGGGAGCAAGAATTATCTTGTAAAATGTGTGGCTGTTTTTTCAAGTGTTCTCTGACAAAAACACTCTCTGATCATTCTTGTTCTGAGTACTAATACTTGAGGTCTTCTCTTTCGGCAGAGGATGCTAAAAAGATGGCTGTCAAAGAAGAGAAATACGATCCAGGTTATGAAGCAGCGTATGGAGGAGCTTACTGTGATCGTGCACTGTATGAAAGCGAACAGTGCCATTTCTCTTCAGATGGAACTGGTAAAGTGCGGTCCTGGGGGCATTCAGTCTGTCAACCGTTACTTATGAACAAATACTTAACCTTCTACCCTTTCAGCAACTTGCACCATTCATACAATGTATTTGAAGTATAGCAGCAGTTAAACTCTTACATAATTGAGGGAATGTATAGTTTTTGTGAGAGAGAAATAAAGAAAAGTCATTTACTTTATTTAACATCAATCAAACCGTTTTCCCAAACTCCAACTGACTCCCAGGATCTGACAAACAGACACAACTAGTGACTTACACGGTAAACCTCTTCAACTGCAATGACTTGTATAACTGCATCGTGCTTTTCGGAGCAAAAGAGAGGCTTGGTACTTCTTTTTTTTTCATTCCTAAGGAAAGCAAAGCCAGAGAATGGTGGAACAGATAAAATAACAGAGCAGTTGAGGTTGTTGCATTGCTGGTGGGCCAGATGAAGGAGCAGTATTGGAAGGATGAGTCTAGTAATCTAGCTGTAATTAAGAAGCTGGGAATTTCACCTCCCCAAATACCACCAACTGTAATTAAAAAACCAGTATGAAAAACAACGGCAGAAGCAGTAACTTTGGAGTAACCACCTTCCTCTGAAGTCTTGAATTTTCAGTCCTAATCTCACATTGAGAATTGAAATTGGCGTTCTGACTACCCTACTTTGTCAAAGAGAATGTCCGTTTGAGAAGAAAAAATTTATAGGAGTAGAATACCTCACTGCAAAGTGAGGTATTCTTTTAAACATGTAGACTCTTAATTTATATATACGCAGTCACCCTTCGAAGAAGACTTGAAGAAATTATAATTTGAGGAAATGATCTGGATCTACAGAAGTAGATGCTCGACAGAAATAAGTTTGAACTGCAGCCTGAGTAGGTGGTTGAAAAACAGAGAGGAAAGATGGAAACTGCAATTCTCTCTCTGGTTTTTTTAGGGGTTGTTTTGGGGGGTTGGGGGTTTTTTGCTTGTGGCGTTATCTGTATTTTAATCGTTTAGTTTTAGTTAGTGGTATCAACTGCATTTTTTTTAAACTGTGTTTTATTATTTTTATGTGTGTGTTGTAGCAGGAAGCAATCCGCAGTACTGCGAGGGGTCCTCCTTCGGTGAAGTTCCTAATGGACAATGGATGACGCAGTCCTTTGCCGACCAGATTCCAGAGTTCGGTGCTGGTATGACACGGGAAGAGGAGGGAAGCAGCGCGTAAGAGCTGTTTCTTCTCGGCTATGCATACATGCTGCAGTTTTAATGCAGTGATCAAGATTGGTACCTCGGTTCTCCAACTGAAGCATTTTAATAGTATTTTATCTCCCCTAGTTATTTTATTATAGTCCAAAGTGAGTGTGTGGTAGGCTCAAATCAATGAACTAGATAATTTTAAGGAACTGTCCAAACTTTTTTAAAAAAAGTTAGCCCTTTTTTGTATATGAGTTTTATATTTAATGTATACCATTTCTTGCCGTTTTTGACAAATTGCTTTCTCATTTGTGAAGATTTCTTTGGGGCGTTAATTTTATTCCACAAATTGTAATGTAGTAGTAGCAGCAGCAGTATACTTTTTACTGATGCCTCGGTATTTGGATATCTCATAATCCTTTTATATCCAGAGGGGACAATGGGAAGTGTACCCTTACCTTACATGAAGTGGTGTTTTTAATCGTGCACAGTTAAGCCAATTGTGCTTTTTAAGTCTGCCTTTTGCCTTCTTAAAAAGTGCAGGAAGTTGTGTTCTGCAGCTGTGAGTACTGAGTATTTTCTGGGTGGGAAGAGGGAGCTCTCTCTGTTTAGCGACTGGACCATATTCAGGATTAAGGGAGCGGAGACATCATCTCAAGTCACAGCACTGGGGAGGAAAATTTGTGTCACACAGGACAGGGCCTAAATATTCTAGCTGAGCTGTCTTAGGGTAAGGCGTGCCTACCACTCCATCT